AGAGAGAGAGAGAGAGAGAGAGAGAGAGAGAGAGAGAGAGAGAGAGAGAGAGTAGCCTCGAGAGAGAGGGACAGAGAGAGAGTAGCCTCTTCATAGATGAAAAGTGGAATGAGGATCGAGATCCGTCGGGATCGGATAGTCCGTAGCTTGGGTCGGGACGACAGCACATTTATACTTCTCTAACAATTCTTAGAATTCCGTTCCGTCAACTAGTCGGAAGGAAATTCTGTTGCCGTCATCATGGCCGATCGTCCGTCTTCGTCAGCTTCTGTTGTGGATGATGATCACGACGATTTGTCGAAGAAGAAGCGACACATTCACCCTCTCCGAAAACTGTCTATTACCAGCCTGGGCTCCGCCTTCCTGAAGCAGTTTTCAGGTCACAAAGAGAGAGTATACAATAATAACGACAACGAAAGACAACAACAACAACAACAACATACTACTACTACTACTACTACAGTAACTACTCGTAGCAGTAATAAAAGTAACGGAAAAGAAACGGAATCTAACGGCGAGGAGGAATTTCGAACCGCTGGTCCACAGACAGATGACAGTGGTTGGGTAAGTCTGAGCTCGGTTGTGAGATCCCGACAGCAGCAGTCCGACAAGACTTCACGCGATCCCAACGCCGCCTCACGTGACAAGCACGGCCGTGACGGAACCCAAACACGAAGACGGGCAAGTACTTCCTCCATCGCCTTTTTATCCGCTTGGCCCACAGCTTCCGCAAAAGGTTATAATCCTGAAATCAGCTCTGCAGCGGCACCTGGTCGTGCTGCCAAGTACGACGTCTCCTCTCTTCAGACGGCAAACGACCTTACCACGTCTTCTTCTCCCTCCTCTCCTCCGTCTCCCCCTCCTCCCCCTCCTCCTCCTCCTCCTCCTCCTCCTCCTCGTTGGTTGAAGCGCACCTCTCTCTATCTCACTTCCTCCGCCAATCCTTTCTCCTCTACGTCACAGCTTCATCGCTCTTCCAAGTCAATGCCCCCAGTTGTAAAGAGCGATGAAGACGCGGCCCATAAGACCAGCAGGGATCGAGCCCCGGGGGTACTGGTGGCAGAGCTCGTCAGGAGGTTCTCAGTCACTGGTGTAGTGCCATCGCTAGCATACGAAGAGGACGATCTTGGAGCCGACGAAGCTGGCTATGGCGGCGGACGTGCCGTTCCATCCATCTTTCAATCTCAACGAAGGAGATCTTCTAGTGTTACGGTCGGCGACGGTTCATCTGCACCGTTCATCAGCTTGCCCCCAACCTCGCACGGTCTGGGCAAGTCCTCGATGACTTATCCTGTGACTGAGCTGATTAAGGCAGAGCTGGGTAGGGGGGGAGGTGGGGGAAAGAACCACCTCCAAAGCCATCAGCAAGGGGATGATGGTGATCGTGTTAAGACCAATGCAGAAGCTATGTGGGGACTCGGAGGTCGCTTACCCACAATGAACGTGGCTCTGCCGTTCGATCAGCTGGCGGAATCAACGCGTGGAGAAGGATCTTCGCGTACTACCCAAGCGCCTGGGCGCAGGCGCAAGCTAAACATAGCTCACAACGTGTTGGAGTTGGTGGGGCGCACTCCGTTGGTCTACCTCGGCACGGAGTCCAACTTAACGTCCGGGTGCGTGGCAGCCATAGCCGCGAAGGTGGACTACCTTCAGCCTGGGAGATCGGCGAGGGATCGAACCTGCTTAGCGGTCGTTCGCGATGCAGAGAAGAGGGGATTGATAGCGCCAGGGAAGACGGCGCTAGTGCAGGCAGGTGCAGGGAACGCGGCCGTGTCTCTGGCTTTCATAGGGGCAGTGCTGGGGTACAGAGTCATCCTAGTGATGCCAGACACTGCGACTCAGGACCGTGGGATCTTGCTAAGCGCCTATGGCGCGGAGATCGTCCTTTCAGACGGGGCGGGAGGGCTTCCAAAAGCGCGGGAAATCGCCGCCTCCATATCTTCCACAATCATGGACGGATTCCTTGTGAATCTGACCGGCAATCTCGTCGCTGTTCAGGCTCACTACCAGACCACCGGACCTGAGCTCTGGGAAACCACGGACGGTAAAGTCGACTGCTTCGTCTGCATGGTCAATACCGGAGGCACCATCACCGGAGTTGGCACTTACCTGAAGCAGAGGAAGCCTGGCGTGAAGGTCATCGGAGTACAGCTCGAACGAGATGCAGCTCCGCTAAACGGCAGAGAAGGAGGAGGAGGAGGAGGAGGAACTAACGGTGGCGGACGGAGAGAGAACGGCGGCGGCGGCGGTGGAGGAGCAGGAGGAGGAGGAGGAGGAGGAGAAAAGGGTAGAGAAGGACAAAGCAAAGGAGGAGGAGGAGGAGGAGGAGGAGGAGGAGTTGAAGGCGGAAGAGAAAAAGACGGACAGGTTAGCGAAGGACAAAACGGGGGAAGACAAGACGGAGGACGATACAGCACTGAAAGCAGGAGACAGAAAGAAGGACAAGATTATGGAGGAGGAGACGACGGAGAGGAGGGTAACGGAGAGGAAGATAACGGAGAGGTTGGGAGTAACGCGATCTTCTCGTCGTTGAGAACGTCGGCCGTGGATGAGATCATCGTCGTTAACAGATCGAGGGCAATACAGATGAGCAGAGTGACGGCGGTGAAGGAAGGGTTGCTGGTCGGGATCTCGTCAGGTGCTGCCATCTGCGCCGGACTTGCCGTCGCTAAGCGGCCTGAGCATGAGGGGCAGCTCGTTGTCGTTTACTTGTCCAGTTTTGGTGAGCGAGACCTGTGCTCGGATCTTTTCAAAGACATTCGTGAAGAGGCAAAGAAGATGACTTTCGAACAGACAGGAACATCTACTACCTCTAGTAGACATTGACTTTGACTTTGACTTTTTTTTGGGTGAAGAGGAGAAGAAGAATTTCCAAAGAAGGAAACATGAAGCTCGTCTTTGATCGATCGATCGATCAATCAGTAATGTGAAAGAATCTCGTGCAAAGTCTGAGTGATTAAGTAGTAATAAGGAAGGATTGTTGGCGTTCAGTACCTTCTTGACCCGAATACAACATAGGGTGGTTATTTTGCTGGTATTTAGACGGAAAGATAGGCCAAATGCAGCTATGATTGAGGACCGGACGTTGTATTCGTGTGATTGGCGTTAGTCGTGAATTCTTGAGGGTGATTCCGACAGATAGAGAGGGAGAAGATGACAAGAAACGAAAGGATGTGACAGATCTTTCCGTCGGAGTTGCACCCACTCTTTCAGGAGGCTGAACCGTAATTGACCGAGGGATCGATGGATGGATCGAGTTTGATTGATGGATTGATTGCGTAATCAGTTGGCGGGTGATTGATGTGTTATCGATTTCATTGATCGATCGCATCAGTTGATTGATTGATTGATTGATTGATTGATTGATTGATTGATTGATTGATTGATTGATTCCAGCAGGGGATTGATTGTTGCGATCATTTATTCCAGCAGATGATTAATTGCCCGATCGTTTGGTCACATTCGTTGATTGATTGATTGATTGATTGATCAGTTGATTGATTGATTGATCAGTTGATTGATTGATTGATTGATTGAATGATTGATTGATTGATTGATTGATTGATTGATCGATCAATCAGTTGATTGATTGATTGATTGATTGATTGATTGATTGATTGATCGATTGATCGATTGATTGATTGGTTGGTTGATTGAATCATTGATGGCTTAGCTGGGTGACTGACCGGCAGCGGGATTATGATTCATTCAACCTGCTATGAGAGCAGCTGGTGATGATCCATTCATATATTTATATATAATAATATTATTTTTTATTTTTTATTTTTTTTTACAATTTGATCGTCCATTGGTTGGGTGTGTGACGGACAAAATTGATGGTCACTGGTTCGAGCACTTTTTTTGATGTTGCTTCGATGCCGGTTTTTGTTTTTTTGTATAGTTCGATTATACCGTTTATTTTCATTCAATCCAATCAGTTGTGGTTTTTCATTATGCGCTTTTTTTCATTCACTGCATTCATTGATATGATAATCACTGAGATCACTAAAATGAAATAAAATCAGTAGATCCAAGATTGCCAGCCTTCAATGCAAAATTCCATTGGTCTGTTTCTGAACCCCCCCTCCACCCCCACCCCCCCTCTTCCCCCTTCCCCGCTTTTTTTGGCTTATCTTATTCCCCCGAATAGAACGTACGGTCATTATAGATCCATTTGGAATTTTGGACTGAAAAATAATACCCCGAGTACAACTACCATGACCGGGCGTTGTATTCGGAGGAATAAGTTATAGTAAGTTTTTTTTTTTTTTTTTTTTTTTTTTTGTTAGTTAGTAACTATAGTTAATATTACAATAGAGTGTTTTGTCGTATTAGAAAAGCTTCGAAGGACCGGGCGTTGTATTCGGGGGATTAGCACCTTTTTTTTTCCAGTACTTTTTGGACCATCTCTCGATCTATGCGTTTTTTTTTTTGTTTTTTTTTTTTTAATAATAGTATTAATAATTTAATACCCAAATCTATGGATTTATCATTGGCAATTGGTTGTCTGCCATCGAGATAGGGGATATAGATCGAGAAATGGTCCGAAGTACTGGGGGGGTGGGGGGGGGAGGGAAAGGTCCGTTGAATCCATTTTTCCATTGCGCAGGAGCAATTCGAGCATGAGAACATGCTTGTATGATTCTTTGTGTAAGCTTTGTTTTATTAATAAATGTCGATCCTTTTTCTTTGGAAAAAAAAAAAAAAAAGGATTTCACGTGCGTGTACAGAGCAATTGGACATTGGTTGTCTGTCATCTTCATAAGTTCATCTGTACTATAGTTCGTTCCAAAAAAATTAAAAAGATATCTCGACGCATGGCACTACTGGTTTCGTCCGATTGACTTTTTTTTTTTTTTTTTTTTTTTTAATTAAACGAGCTACTTCTCTGATGAAGGGATTAAGCGATCGTGCTCTGAATTGATCGATTGAAGAGTCAAAGTCTATCTCTGATCTATCTATCTATCTATCTACCTATCTATCTTATCTATCTTATCGATCTTATATATATATATCGTCACAAACAGAACTGCCCGGTAAACCGTAGGCAGAGAGAGAGAAGAGGACAACAAACGAGGGGCTGTGACAAACTGTTTCGTCGGAGTTTCACCGACTCATATATATATATATATAGTGTTAAGCAATAAATTGGAAATTCGCATATTTTTCTACGTCAAATGCTGCTGTCAAGTGTATCGTCGCTCGGCGAATTAAAAGAAATATATATATATATAATATATATGTCGTCAAACAGAACTAACAGTGGTGACATCGAAATGTGTTTTATTTGGTATCTGGACGTACCAGTGTCCCACGTGTCCCACGTGTCCCACGTGAATCACGGGGATCATCGTTATAGAATATTAAATTATTATTTTCATTTGATGTGATATATTCAATAAATCACGCTCACGTTCGTCATCCACAGGAGGGTGTGAAGGGAACGGGAGTTGCAGTGCCCATGCGTTCTATTCGGGGGCGATGGACTGGCAAGAGACGTGCTTAGGAACTGCGACCTCGTTTCTCCCCATGTATAACCGCTCTTAACGGGTTTTTT